GCCAAGCATTTCCTTTGTCAAGCTTCTTCTCGAAGATAGTAACGACATCGGTGTTCACGTCAACGGTCTCGCTGTCTGTGGGTCTCGCGGGAACGAACGTGCTTAGCACCGAATGGAGCTGGACTCGTACCCGGCGCAGGAACAAGTCCGGTGGGTTAGGGAGTGATTCTGAGCGTTGGAGGTGTTGCACAGTGATGATGACCGGCACGGGAGAACCGATGACCAGAACGCGAGCCGAGGTGGCAAAAATATTGAATTTGACGTAAGGAACCTCACTGAAGCTTTTGGGCCCAAAGAAAAGTTCCTTTTCAACCAGCTTGTGTTTGAACTTGTCCATTTTGCTGCTGTTTGCGTAGTCGGGATACAGTTTGCGGGTTCGGATCAACTTCTGGTGGCTGTATTGCTTTGGCAACGATATCCCAAAGCTCAGATCTGGTTGGAGAAGCGAGAGGTGGTATTCTGGTGCTGGCGGTATAAAATTGAGCTCTTGTCGCACTTTGGAACGAGGACTTCCCGACACGCTGGAGTCCATACGGGCTTCCAGCCGGTACACGATCCTAGGCCCCACAGGCGCAATGCCATGCGTAGGGGGATTGAAACTTGGGGGCAGCGGGAATCCAGGAGAGTGCTGAAAGCGTGGATGGTGGTACGAGTCTTCCGAGTAGAACCAATTCTTGTCTGCGGGGGGTGCCAGGCTTACGTTCAGGGGAAATGTGAAGCAGAAGGGAAGCTCCACTTTCCCATCACTCGCCGTGCCTTTGCGAAGAATATCGAAGTTTTGGCCGGCACCTGAGGTCACAAATAGTTCCTGTGACATGCGGAAGAAATCAGGATGCGCGCCTTTGGCATGTGTATCATGGATGCTAGAGAGGCCCTTGAAGATGATACTGATGCGGGTAGGCCGTTGTGAAGGGTCCACGCGCAGGTTGCCTTGAACGTGGTCCCCTGATGTGTAGAAAGCTTGCGAGCTAAGGACGTCGATATATACTGGTCTCATTCTATGGTTGGCCTGGCTGCCATATGTAGCGTTCGCGGAAGCCATCAGGTAAGCTGATTAAATAAGTCGCGCAGCATCAGATGGTTGAACTAAAGACTGGACAGGAGATTGTTGATGTGATGAAATGATGCTTCTAGTGGTTGGTTCGGGGGGGATGTTATACCAGACGCTTCCAAGGTTCGGTTGCGCCCAGGCGGCCAAGGCCACGAGGGCGGACTTCCAGTTGCCCCATCGTAGCGGCTTCCTTACAGTCGCAGACGTGCGTATATTGTACCGGTAGCTTTGCCACAATGCTGCGCCTTGAAAAGCATGGCAGGATTCCTCTCATGCTCCCGTTGCGGAATGGTGTCGCCGTTGCAGGGGTTTTACGTTGATGCTCATTGGTGCAGGGTCGTGAGGTCATCACATCTGGGGGGAAAGCGTGATCGCGACTTTTTGAACTTCGGCAAACCGACGTCCTGTCAACCAACAATCACACCAATGGCCTCCAACTACACGTGCACAGCCTGCTCAAGGGCATTAGCGGGGCCATCCTCTTCGCTGCTTCAGGTAATCAGCCCTGTTGTTTGGGAATGTCAACTATTGACACTTTTAGCGCACTAGCAAAGCGTCTCTGCGTAGAGCGCAGCGAACTTTTTCCACGACCGCACCGGCCGCATATCATGCATCGCGAAGTTTGTCAGCAGATGGTAGGCCTGCAGCAATTAAGAAGCCCCACCCCGGAGTTGCTTCTGGCGTCACAGGGCTTGCGCAGAAAATACGGGAGAGGGCACCGCTGATGACCGAGACGTATGTCGCATACGGCGCAACACGAGACCTCATCAAGGAGTGCAGCAAGCCGGGTGAATACAAAATACCGCAGGCGTTAGTAAGCCGGGGCGAGATACCGGTAGACGCGAACGGCGTGCATCTAGGCGAGGCAGAGGGCTGGTGGTATGACAGTACGTACTTCTAGAATGAGGAGCACACGGGGACCTGCTGACGGTTTGCACAGCCCTCGGCCTGAAGCCAACCTTCTCCAACTGGGCTCAAATCACCTTCATCCACATGTACATGCTGCAGGTCCGCTTCCGCATGTTCCCCCAATCGCACGCCCCAGTGTGGATCCAGCACCTCACCAACCAAGCTTTCTACGCCGCCGAAGACCGCCTCGTCATATGGCACAAGTTCCACGCCAACACGCTGCGCCAGAAACACCTCAAAGACATGTTCTCGCAATGGCGCGCAGTGCTGCTGTCGTACGACGAGGGTCTGATGAAGGGCGACGCTATGCTCGCGGCCGCTATCTGGAGAAACCTGCTGGGCTCGAGGGAGAATGTGGACTTTGAGAAGCTGGCACAGATTGTGGGTTACATGAGGAGGGAGCTGAAGAGGCTGGACAACGCAGCAGATGACGAGGTTGCGAATGGGCAGTGGACATTCCGCGGCGACCCAGGAGACGAGGCAGTAATCGTCAAGGCACCGAGCAGGCTTATGGCAAGCGAGGGTACAAAGGTATAGAGATTCACATAGGAGAAGAGAAGGTTGGGATGTAAAATCAGTGAATTTGCGCTATACTGGAATTTTACGTTCATATGCAAGTACAAGACCTTCTATTACAGATCTTGGAGCTACTACTACGTCAGTGTCCAGCACTGAAGGATCCAGGGTTACTATGTCGTGTTGTGAGAGCGCGCCCAGCACTGACGATTTTCAGAACTACAACGTGTCAATTATCCAGCTTGACGGCCCAGCTCAACGATGTCGACGCGACAAAGTGGACACAGGTTGGACACGGTAAGGTTATCGACAAGACAGTCGAAGCCAAGGATATTCCCACCAGGACAAGGCAACCGAACAGGGGAGTTGTTGTTCTCAGTTTCCTCGTCATAGTCGCTCCAACAATGCGGGCACCGCATTAGGCCGGCTTCAATAGACTCGGTATCGACGGCTGGCAAATTACTGACAAAGGTAACAGCCAGCGCCGGGTCCTTAAGACCTAGCTAGCATCGCAACGAGAGCTTCCGAGTCCGGGACGCCATTTTTATCCACAGCAATTAGAAGTAAATTCAGGAGCGTTGCGTAGATTACCTCAGTATCAGAGACAGCGTCATCAACAGTAGGGACGCCATCACCGAGAAACTCGGCAGAGTTGACGTGATTCTGGGCGAGCAGTGCCAAATGCCCTGTGGGCGGCCCAGCTGGGGCTAGGGTCGACTCTAGCGATTTGTTCGAAGACTCTGACGTGCAGTGTTGAAAGGAAGACGTCGTCGGTGAGGGGAAGAATGGCTTGCGTCGGAAAAGACATGCTCTGGTTTGTCTCAGGTTGAGGATGCCGTCTGGTATCGTTTTGGTGGTGTTGTACGTGGTTGTTGACATCGTTGACGTTGATTGAATTTGGGTATTCAGATTAGATCTTGGTAGGGAAGCTGGAAGTTCTTTAAGACCGCGTTGTGTGTACACAACCATCACCGCTTCCGGAGTACGCTTCCTGGTGCCACGCCGTCATAGGTTAAGGCGCTATTAGATAGCTTTGTTCATGGAAGGTATACCTATGCTAACATTGGGTCTTACAGTAGGCGGAAGGCTTGGATAGACTATCAGTATCAGAGTTTAGTAGAATTTCTGGTAGAATTTCTGGCCACTGTATCTCTATATCACGATAAGTACATGCTTCAAGCATGCGTTCCGAGATATTTCCAGATTATTATTCATATAATGTTTACGCTACTATTATCCAGTGTCCAGCAGCCCTATAGATGCTGAAGGCTATTCAGCTGTCGGTGAGTTGACGATATCCCTACGGCACAAAGGGCAAAGCAGCCCAACCGCCGTGAGGATATCTACCAGGCAATTGAAGCCGATGATGTGCGTTCCGCTAGCGCAAGGCAATCGGATAGGGGCGTTGTTATGACCTTCTGTCACTTCCTCCCATTGGGCCCAACAGTGCATACATTTGTCTTGCAAGTTAATAGACGAGACACCAGCGACTTCTAGCTTGCTAACGAACGCTATAGCCTCGTCCCTCATAAAATGGTCGCTAGCTATGGCGTCCTCTTGAAAGACAACCATCACTATCGATGCATGCAACGTATTCATATCAAACACTCCAGTAGCATCTACATAACTCAGCAGAAGACTAATAAAGCCTGACTCAGCATTAGTATTAATGCTATCAAGCCCAGGGAAGTCAGGGAAGTCTGTATATAGTTGGGATAGCACTTCGAGTTGTTCGACGAGATGGTTCCATGCCAGCTGCGGATAAAGTTCACTGGACTCAAAGATTAAGGATAGCCAGGTCTCTTTAGAGTAATATCGGGCTAAAAATAATATGCTTACAATGCAACTGGGAGGCTGCTACTTACAGAACGGGCGGTGCTAGCTGGGAGCTTAGGGGCGAGGAGGCCCTTACGGCTTGACCGTCTCGTCACTGTCGCCCTTGGACTTAGGTATATCAGTCTAAGCGGCTTCATTGGCCGTGTTGAGCTAACGCAAAAGCCTAAGGTCTCGATGTTCGATTGGAAAATATATTGCGGAAAAGCTTTATTTTCAAGTTGCCGTCTGCGATACATGGTGAGGAAACGAAGCATTTTAGCAGTTTATTTCGTCCCAGCTCGTGAATTACCGTCGATTTGCATGTGTTGTTTGTAACGATTAAATCACATTAGGAGTTCAACCCTTTTGTGATGCCGTGCCAAGCTCGTAAAAGCTGATCATTGAACTTTGGAGTAGACTTTGAGGACGGAGGTGCTATAATGTGAAGTTATCGATTCGAATACTGCCCATCGCCGAAAGCACTGGTCGTAGAATGTGCGAGTGTTCGTGATGTTGTGTTTGAGGCTAGACTGCTCAAAGTTGGCCAACTTTGCGGATTCCTCCATATCGTCGTTCACCACCATACGACACCACGCCTTCCCTCATATTTCTGAGCGGAACTAACGTCGATATACTCTACCGCCACTACTTTTGAGCTGTAGTAGTATACAACCCAACAGTTTCTCCCATTGCTCAATTAGAAGCAACAGCTGCGGTGGTCTAGGGGTATGACATTCGCCTCACAAAGCCTGTGTCCGCGAATGGTCGCGAGTTCGATCCTCGCTCGCAGTATTTTTGCTTTTTGTACGCGATAGAATTTAGGCGTCGGCTTGTGGGCGGCTTGTATTCTGTGCAGGCGTGTATTTGGATCATCTTGTATGAGTTTCCCCGTCATGGAAGGAAGCTTTGGATAGTCAGTACCAAGACAAATAGAAGCGAAGCTTTCTAACCACAGTGCGAGTTACTTACGTAAGTATTGTGTATAAAAGATCAAAGCTTCCCAGGTCCTTCTTAGGAGGTAGAATTCTGGGCGCACTGCGCTGTCTACACTAGGGTACAAAGTTGCATGTTTGCCTCAGGTTTCGTGATGTGAGTGACAACTGAAATCTGCGCCTAGTTGACGCATCGGATGGGTCTGAATGACAAAATGAAATTAATGAAGCCTCTGATGTTGCATCTACGATGGAAACAAGCTGCGGGGATGCACGCTGACATCAGCGCTTTCGGGACCTCGGTACGACCACGCGACCACGCGACCACGCGACCCACTCCACTCGCTCACCCCACAATCGCGAGACTCTCACCTAACCTCAATCAAAATATCAGCTAGCCTTAAATGGTCTACGCCCATTTCCCTACGCTCGATTGGACCTTGGTGTCTCCCGTTTCACCTGCCGAAATGTTGCAGGCGGCCCCGCGGCGCATGAGTACCCACGATACATGCGCGGCCGAGAGAATGCGCGCCCAACGACACGGGACGTCAGGGCGCCTCTAAAGTGTCTTGGAATTGCTTGGGGCGCGAGAATGTATCGGATTTGGACGGGCCAGTCCACATGTGACACGGAACGGAGTGATGTCAAGTGCTGTGATTCGTGGCCTGATCTTTGGGGTGCGGGTGGCGCGACCGTGGGCACAGCCTACTCGTGACGTGTGATTCCCCGCACGAGGCTGTCGTATATGTACTCCATATTTCCCGCATCATGGGACGTCTTATCCGGAGTACAACACGTTGCAGGCATCACTCAAATAAAGCTTTATCCAAGTCAAACCGCGGCCGATACATTCCCACATCTTGGCAATACACACCATCAATCCTCAGCAACCCCACGCGAGATATAAAAGTAGGAAGCCTACCACTCGAAGACGTCCTCGGTCAATCCATCTGGTATAGATTCACACCACTGCATCAACAACCATCAACATGTCTTTCCTCCTCCGCATCTCTCCTTTACGCCAGAGGCTCTTCACCACATCGGCACGTGCTCGCAATGTCATCTCCATGGAAGACGCAGCAGCAGCCCAAATCACATCAGCGGCCAATACCGTCCCAAAGCTCGGAAGAATAGCCCGATGGTAAGCCAACTACCTCAGCTCATATCGACCACCACTGACAAGCCCCAGGTATCTTCCCACCATGGCCATGGTCGCCATCGGTATGGTCTACCTTCCCAAGAACGCCTACCTTCCAGCATCACAGCCCATCCGCCGGAAAGCCACGCTCGGCGATGCTAATGCTAACATAGGCTTTGGCGTTACAAATGCACTCAACGAGGCCAACCGCAAGGTCCATGGCGCACTTGAACTCACCCAAGATCAGAAGAACATGATGCTCATGGACTCTTACGGCGAGCGCTCAAGCTTAGAGGATATGGAGCGGGCCATCGCGGGCCTTGAGGCCAAGGTCTGGAGCCAGCAAGACAGGAACAAGACATTGGAAGAGGCGTACGGAGACAAGGGAAGTATCAAGGACCTTGAGAGAGCTATGCAGCTCTACGAGGTGCAGTGAAAGATGAGTAGTAAGATTCAAGAACGACTTCCAGCTTCGTGCTGATGAGGGCATACTCTTCCGGAGAAGATGAAGCGACAGGGTTGAAGAACGAGAGAAGAAGAAGCAACGCGTGCTGAACGCCGCGGTCACACCGCCAGGGTATGATGGACAGCACACTCAACTTCAGGGCGTCCATGCTTATGCCCTCGAGAAGTGAGGTGAGGGAAGAACTTGCGAATTCATATCAGGCATAGCATCAGGTGTTTTCACTTTCGCATCAGGATCAGCATTTTGCTACGCAATCATGTACTATATCAACACTAGGTGATGAAATAACTCGTGATTGGGATGTTATTTTATAAACAAAGCTACAACGAAGCCTAGCTATCTTCACTGTACTTTTATAACTTCAACAGTTCATATTAATACGCTGAAGCTATCTAGGCTACGCTATCTACAAGTCTTGCGGTATGCCGATCTCCTCAACGGAATCCTGGTACCAACATCATTTACGCGAATCAACCAAGTTCTTCAATACCCGGGGTTGTTCATTTCATACCGCAATGTTCGCTACTCGGCTCATCTCGAAAGCCCGGCTACTGCGATCACCCAACTTAGGCCGCGCTTCCTTCCACACTGATTCTTAGACGCCTTTAAATTCCCCCATTACGTCTGGGTATCTTTCCCACTACTGCATATCCCAAAAATCCTCGCCGCGTCCAGGGTATGAAAGTCCAAATCCAACCCCTGAATGTTTCCTGTATCCTCCAGTACCACTTCAACAAGATCATACCATAGATACAAGCACTGGCCATTGATTTTTCTTATCCAGTACAACCACGTCTTCTTCACATTGTGGCCATCTCAATTGCGTGATTCGTGATTCAAAGTGGCCCTTCGCCACCCTCCCCTCGGCTACTGGACCCCTTACACCATCATGAATCTTCTTGAAAAGGACAACTACGAAGTCCCCTGGTAACTGCTTTTCTTGGCCGGGCACTCAAGCTTATATACCGACGTTGCCTGTTGTTCTGGGAGTATCCGGGGCGGAATGGAACCTGATACTAGCGCTGAATGCACTGTACTGTTCCAGACTAGTACTGTGTCTTCGACAAATTGCCGAGCGCTGGACTATGGAGTTCCACGGGTTTGTGTTGTCAGATTGTTGTTGAGCATTGAATGGCGTGTATGGCTCAGCCTTGAGCAGCCGGTAGGCGGGCTTTTTGTGATAGGAAGAAGTTGTCAGAAAGAGAGCGAAGACGCGAGGATGCTGAGTGATCGTTGGAGCTTTTAATGTCGGTGGCGGTGTGGGTGGCAGTACTGGAGGCCGAGGATCCATCATTATGGGCACGACCAACACAATGTACTCGCCTCGAGACACTAGACTAAAGACTTATATGTAGGAAGAGGAAATGGCGTGGCGGAGGAACCCATAAGCTTTGCGAGTGCCACATGAGCTAACACGCCTTCGTGACTCTTTATTGTCATCAAGCATAACTCCATCAATATCTTTCGAAGTCGTTCTAGAAAACACCTTTTACGTCAATGACTTCCTTACTCGGCACTCCCGCTAGTAAAGCTCTATAAAGTGGCCATTTTAAAATGTTTACATCTTTTATAGTCTTCTATATATCACGCAGTGAAACAGGGACACTTAGATAAAAGATCGCATCGACAACGCTCCGGCATCACAAGCGGTGTTACTTTCCGCACAAAGTTGTCTCGAGTTCACCGCGAGTTCACCGCCCCGCAACACCTATCCGCTCTCACCAACGGTATGTCGCCACCCTTCTCTCACCTCGTCTCGCCAACAATTCAGCGCGAGCTTCACTGAGGTATAATTGAGCAGCCTCTCCCCCACTCCACTTTCCTCTCTCCCATATCATTTGTGACGTCTTCTATTCTCAGACCACCACCACACCCACGGAGCACCGTCTCGTGCGCCCGCAAGTACCCCCTGACGCATAAAATCACCACCGCGCCCATGAGCTGCTACAGTCATGGCAGAGCCAGCTATTCCCACGTTCGAGCAACTCGATGCGCGAACTGAATGCAGGGCCCCCGTCGCGCGGCACGATAGCAGTCTGGAGCCCAAGATCTCACATCCGTGGTGGGACCTTGACAAGGACGTCATCTTGCAACTACTGGGCGACATCGCGGCGAAGGTCAAGGCTTGCCTTCGAAATACCATCTGCTCCGACAAGGAGGCGCATCACGGCCTCAATGAGGCCATGATGCTCGCGCGGATCGCCCTCACGAACAAGCTCCAAATTGCTTCTATCGGATTCAACGGCTCCGGCAAGAGCTCTCATTCATGCCATACCCCCGATGTCACGAACCTCTCGACGACAGGTACGAAAAGTGAATCCTGCAATGGCTTCGTCGTCAAATTCATCTACGGAGCCGGAAGCATTTACTCTGCGTCCGTCAAGTTCCTCAATGGCAAGGCACTTGAGGCTTTGGTCGCAGAAAACACTCGGTACTACCGAGAGTTTCTCGAAGAGCTCGGGGACTCTGAAGACGCCAGAAGTCCGTCCAAAAGCAAAGATCGTGGTCAAGAGGAAAGATACGGCAATCGAGTTCTCCGTCCTAGTTTTCGGTACACATGCTTCTTTCTTTGAGGCTTGGACCGCCAATTCTGCCAACGAGGGAGAGTTCGAGTCTATGTGCATGGTGAAATACACCGAGCCCATCGAAAAGCTCAGCGTTACGTCTGACAATGTCGTTATGTACAGCAAAAGCACGCGCGCGGAGCTTATGAAAGTTATCAAACCGTTCTTGGCGAGCATCAAGAACCAACGCTGCGTTTGGCCGCTGGTCGAGCAATGCCACCATTCCACTCGACAACCCATTACTACGGGTGGGCCTTGAGCTTATTGACTTGTCAGGTACGTCCATGTAGTATTGACACGGCACGCGCACCCGCTAACTTCTACACGCTCCTGGGACGCCAATTTGTCACGCGTTGGACACGCCCGACCAATGTGAAGCTGGTTGCCAACAAGATGCATATACGTATTCCGGACTGCTAGAATGAGATGAAGCTAACAGCGCAGGTGACTTCAGATTCCAATCTAGATCAGGCCACAAAAGACGGCTCCGAACTCGACGAGGCCACCAAGGCCATGTTTGCCGAGATCGCCAAAAACACCAAAACTGCGGACACCCTAAGCGCTGCTGCCGAGGATCATGGGGATTACGCGATGACCAGGCGGGTCGGTCCGTACAAGATATACCTACAGCGGCGTGAGCGAGTGCTTTTCGCGATGTATCGTGGCAGGAACCTCACTGAGATAATGGCCAA